GCATTGGCTCTCAGAGGACTACTGAGAGTAATCAATAACCCAGGCTGAACACATCAGGCTAGCCGCTGCGAACATGCGTTTTTGCTCGGCTTTATATACACTTAAAAGTGAAAATGTTGCTCGGTCGTTCGTCGAAATGGAGCGGTCGTTCGACGAAATGGAGCGGTCGTTCGTCGAAAAATCCTAGTGTGTAAATGAACTGGATGTTGGGAAACGATGAGGGCGGTAGTTCGCTACAAAGTTCACTCGTTTCTGAGTTGTTGGTAGAATTGAGTATTTCTTGTACTCAACTGCAGGGAATTTCTCCTCCAAGCAAAATTAAGACCACACAGGAAAGTAGAATATTTCAGCGAAACTGCAGCCTCGCATATTATCTGGTAAGCGAAATGGCTACTTCACTACAAATATTTTTGAAGTGCCCTAAATCGTGGCGCAAGGGCAAGCTCAGTTTAGTTATATGATTTCCCATATGGACGATCAATATTCTGCCAAAATTTCAGCCATTCTTTTCCGGCTAGTTTTCGAGTTAACACAGCGCCAACTGCCAAATTTGAGTGACCGTACGTGTTGTGCAAGCGTGCACAGTGACTGAATTTGAAATTTTTGACTCACACAAACATACAGGATATCCCTGCAACGATCCAGCTTTCTATCTTGTCTGATTCCCAAGATCGTTTCCCACCAAAGAAATCTGCATATTTCTTTTGGAGGTTCGTACCTGAGGTCTGGACGCGCATGAGGGAAAATCTTAAAACGAGAAAGTGGTACATAAGGTGAGAATGTGCCCTCAAAATTTCAAAAATTTCAGCCTTCCAGCTTTCTAGTTGCTGATTTGAAAGTGGGTGACAAAGTTCACTTGCTTCCGAACACACACACATGGGCGACCTGTCGACAATATACGTTTTTGGTCGCTGTAGTAGCGCTATTGCGCTGCACAACAAAAAGATAAAAAACTGCTAATGAGCCGTCATAGTCCAAGTCAGAGTGAACTAGAGTTATCCATACGGACGGAGGAGGATCAGGTTTTCGCAGCTTGCCCTTCTGAACCTTTGTTTGTGCTCATGATCGGAGCAAAAATCACCTCGATGTCATCTTAATTGATCAGTTTGTGAGAGGGATAACAGGCAAATGTTCTTGCTCAGCAGCGTTGGATAAAGGCCTACCTTAATAGTTGGGCAGCCACAGTACAGTAGTAAACTTGTGTATTCAAATTTTTTCCCTTTACGAACAGTTTACTGGCGTATAGTGTTTCTGTGTTTCTGCCGTATGAATGAAATACTGGATTTTGGACTGGATTTATCAGAGACCGAATATGAGTATCTCAGTCCCTTCGTGCTTCTTGAGAAATATTTTGCCAGATTCTTTGGTAGCACCGGAAGCTAGTAGTCCTGGACTGTTGTAGGCCTGGTGCTTCTTGATGTTTGAAATCGTCAGCTATTTGCCGTTCCTTTTACTGATCCGAAACAAATGCTCTCTTCTGGATCATATAGACGGATACTTATTGCTTGGAGCTGATTTTTAGAAGGCGGCCAAATGGCATTATTATATTAATGAGTTGCTTTTTTTTTTTTCAGTGAAGGAGGATTTTTCAAGGCAATTCTGGAGTTTCCGCAGGAATATCCACTTTTGCCGCCGAAAATGAAGTTCATCTCAGAAATATGGCATCCAAATAGTAAGCATACAGAAAACTGTCCTTTTTCATAAATTTAAAACAATAATACACCGAGAGATGTGGTCTTTTTTTTTTTTCATTTTTCGCTACTTTTTGAATGGAAGAGGAGATTTTTTGTCGTAGCATAGGACGGGTCCAGTGGGTAGAACATGTTGCTTGCTTGCCTAGTCAACAACCGGTGAACGACGCGAGTTAATCAGTGGTACCCGCGAGAAAACAATCTCTGAGGAAGTGGTATAAATACATCGAACAGGGTGTGAGTACTAACTGGAGGTATGCAGCCTAGGATCGAAAGATTGGCATAGCTACGCTCAGCGTATGGGAATATCCCGACAGCATCACAAACAGGGGATACTCAGCTGATAGCCCAAGTGTTCTTAGCATCCTTGGTAGGACGGGTCAGAATTCGGCCATCCGGCCATTTCCGGAAAAGCTATTTCGTCCATATTAGAGATACTGCATACATATTAGGCAAGTAGCCAAGAACAACGGACTTTAATTGGTGTGTAGTTGCATTTTAGCGTCATCAAGGGCTGTAAGCTTGCCGGTGAACATGGAAAAGCTTCTGAAGTGAAGTTTAAATTACCTTTTGTCGGTCAGAACCGTCGTGTCAACGCTTCTGCTCTTTGTTTATTTGCCCCAGATGTTGCTTTTCACTTATTTCGATTGTTTTATGTATTTTTTTTTTCAGTTGGTAAAGACGGAAGTGTGTGCATATCGATACTGCACGAACCTGGTGATGATCGGTGGGGCTACGAGAAACCAGAAGAGAGGTGGTTGCCGGTGCATACTGTAGAAACGATTCTTCTTTCTGTGATTTCGATGCTCGCTGATCCAAATCATGAATCACCAGCAAATGTGGATGCTGCGGTAAAATTCATAAATCGTTTTCTTTTTTCTTTCAGGGAGAGGAAGGTGCTGGAACAACATTTCATAGACCGGTCGGTCTTAGCAAAAAACGGGGGGTTCTGGAGTTGGAATTTGATTCTGTTTAACATACACTGTTGATAGCAATTCGTTCTTTAGCGAATTTTCCAGCAGCCAATTTTCTCAAAAAAATCATTTTTTTTTAGGATTATAATGATGAGGAGTCTTGAATACCAAGAATATCAAGATTGCTGAGAATACCCACATTGATAGCCCCGGCAGCCTTGATATTCTTGGCATTCAACACTCGCAGCAGTTACTTGGATGCCCTCCTACGCCGAGCGTAGCTATACTAGGCGTTTCGACATCCAGTTAGCAAGCAGCCCTGGAACGAAGGACCTAATAGTTATCCGTTCGATGTCACCTTTCCGGAGGTCGCACAAGTGGCCGGTTACTTTCCTGTGAGTGCCACTCACTAATACGCATTCTCCATCGGTTGCTGGCAAGGCGAGCAGCATGTCCTGCCCATCTGATTTTATTTTCTTGCACGGTCGCAATGATATCCTGAGGGGTGTTGAAACTGGTAAAGAATAATCGGGAAATAAGTTTCAGAATTTTGAAAAAGGAATTTTCTTTGTTTGCAGAAAATGCTTCGAGAGAATTTTCCCGAGTTTAAAAAGCGAGTGTCGGCATGTGTCCGGAAAAGTCAGGAAGAGGGCTGCTGAGTGACGCCGTTCAGTCATCGTCTACTTGTATGATGCTGTTTCGTTAAAAAATTTTTGCGGCATGCATATTGCTCTGTGAAATTTAATTCATGCGTTTACAGGTCCCGGAATTCACAGTTCTAAAAGTATTTTTTGCCTCTGTGATAATAGTAATGTCTGCGCACTTTTTTTACTTCCCTCTCCCCTCGCCCCCCACCCCGCTCCCCCCTCCGATCCCTTTTTCCACTCGCCTTCCGACCCCTTCTTCACCTCACCCGTACCTTTTTCGGACCTTGCTCCTCAACTGTGAATATTTTTGCATCTCATGCTCTTAGCACTCCCCACTTTTGATGTTCATTTTCGCACCATGGTGGTTCGCGTGAGTTGCTCCCGCGTCTGTGTCAAGTTGTTTATTCGCTTGAGCTGTGTTTTTAATTTTATTTGTGATGCGCTTGTCGACGTACATCATTAAAAAAAGATCCTTGTCACTGTGGAGGTTATAGGTTCGGTTCTGTTCAGAAGTTCTTTCATTGGCTTGTTCATGTTGCTATGAATCATTTTAAAAAAATGCTTCTGAATGTCTTTTGCAGAGCAATCCACTGGGAATATTTTCAACCGCTTTTTATGTCTGACATATATTTTAGCATATTAGACTGTAACAGCAGTCTTGTCAGTGTTGGTGAATTGACTGTAATTTGAAAATTAGGCTCGGGGTTGTTGTGAAGCCACACGTGCGGGGAATAACATTTCCAGAGCTCTCCAGCACTTCCTGTGCAGCAGTATAGGATGACACATTACTGTATTTTTACTGGAAACAGACTGATGGGGATCCATCTAGGAGGATTTGCGAATCCCGTGTATGGAGGTGGTGTTTTTCATGGAGCGGCCCTGCAGGCAGCTAATTTCTTGATAGCCCTAGCGAGGCAGTCCATCAGGATTCTACCCTCAAAACAGATTGGTTCTGGTGTTCAGAGCAGCTCGAATGACATTTGCTGGATGCGCTGATGTCGAGAATTCACCGTCCATCGAGATCTGTTCACAGTGAAGCAACAGCGAATCTGCATATCGCATGATTCTTTCGTCTCGTAGCGGTGAATTGGGATGAAATGTTGCGCAATGCCGACTAAGCCAGTACCGATATGTTTCATCGAGCGCAGTGGCGAATCCTAGTTCAGCATTCTTCCTACCTGCAAGATATATCAAAATAAATAGCAACACGCACCAGACTAGCCGGTGCGATTATGCGTTTTATGCAATTTAGCCCGTCGAACGATTGCCTATTAATGATTTTTACTGCTTTGTACTTTATGCAAAAATAGTTCAAACACTGGAAAATAATTAAAAATCCCACGCACCTGCGCATGAAAGCTGAATTCGAAACCTTGAAAGGCAAGTATTTCCGTGATTCCCGAGTTAATAGTTTACTCGCCAAAATTTTTACGAGACGGAACGTGATGCCCGAGAGTGCGGGGACGCTGAAATTTGAATAGGCAGGGTTGAGCGTGGGCAGGGGGTCATT